CTCTGCCAAACTGCAGCACAGTCCTGCTCTCACAGGTTCTGCCCACGATTCTGTGTGTGAGTTGCTGTTTAGGCCCTGTGCTCTCCTGTCTATTTGGGGGAGGGGTGCTCTGAGGACCACTGGCTGTGTCCAAGAGGGATACTTGTCAGGGCCTGCTCAGTCTCCTTACACAGGAGAGAGGAGACAAAGAGACTGCTCAGGGTAGGAACAGACTCCCTGAACTCTACCTCCTCCTCTGGAAATGCCTGAGGTAGTTTCCCTAGAAACATGGCATCCTCAACTATCACATCAGCCCATGACATCCCAGATGAGGAGGGAAGGGCAAACAGTGGAAAGGGTGACAGAGTGGAGCCTTTGTGGGTCTAATAATGTTAATGGCCTTGAGGAGCTTGAGTGGGAGGCCCCACCTGTGCCTCACCCTAAACCTTGTTGTGTGTATCTCAAGGTCCTGCAGGGTGCATGGTTTGGAGAAGGAAAACGTCTGGATGGGACAAACATGGGATTCCTGAGCCCTGGAGGATGGTGACTTTCTGGTTTGCATGTGGGTGTCAGAGGCAGAAAGCACCATTGACAGTAAGCCATAATGGGTGTACTCTCAGGGGAATCAGGCCCACGTGGCTTTGTCCCATCTTCATTCCCAAATGCTCTGTGAGTATGACTTCAGTGTGTTTCTTCTCCATGCATCCTGGTGAGTCATTTCCGCGCTCTATCTCTGTGGACCTTGTCAAGTTTCTCTCTGGCTCCTCCAAGATCACCCCCTGAACTGTTATGAGGGAGCTTCCTAAGGCCCTGGAGACATCTTTTGGGGCCTTGCCTGGAATATGCCCAAGCCTCTTGCCCAAGTCCTGCCTCAGCTGGAACCTCACCTTCTGTACATACCTGCTACCCTCACCTATAGACAGGGATGAAGGAGAGGCCCCAGGCTTGTCTTTGCTGCCTTTAGCAATAGACACCGATGAAAGAGAGGACCAAAGCTTGTCCTTGCTACCTTCAGCTGTAGACACAGGTGAAGCAGAGGGCCCAGGATTGTCTTTGCTGCTTTCAGCTATAGATAGGGATGAGGTAGAGGGCTGAGGCTTATCCTTGCTGACTTCAGCTGTAGACAAGGATGAAGGTGAGGGCTGAGGCTTCCCCTTGGCTTGACAAGAAGGAGCCAAGTCACACCGAGGCCGTGTGAGTTCTGCAGACTCCTGAATCCTGCAGAGCATGTCCTGCTGGTGTTCAGTGATCCACTTTTAGATGTGCTGCTCCAATATTTCCCTGAGCTCAGGGCTGACTGGAAAACTGAGGAAGTGTGGCAGCGGCACACATGTCCTGGAGAAGGCTGGGAGTGGAGTGGCTGTCAGCCTCCTGAGACCTTTGGATTCCTGAGGGGACAGCACCTGCCCACTCCAGTTGTTTCTTGCACAAGGGTTTTCCTGGGGATTGTATTTCAGTTGGGGTGGGAGATTGTGGGTTATTGTGGGATGTAGAACCAGCTGCTCCACAGAACATTTTGTGAGACAAAGTGGTGACAGGATTTTGCAAGAGGAGTGGGGGTGGGTCCGAGTCTGGGCATGACCCAGAGTTGAGGGCTTGTATTGGGGTGGAAACCGGGGTCCCAGACAGGATGGGCCCTGAGCCTGGGAACCCTGCAGGGACATTTTATCCTGCATGCAAACTATGCAGATATTTGAGATTTTGTTAAATAAGTAGGTGGGAAGGTATGGAACAGGACAGTCCTGGGCTCTCCAGGCAGCAGCAACCAAGGATTCACTGTGCAGGGAGGGCAGATCCCAGAAAAACTGGCTGCATTTCTCTCAAAGGGGATCCCCAAGATCTTAAAATATGGCAGCATTTGAGGATGGAGCAGCTGATCTAGCCTCTCTTCGGTGTCCCATGAGTGTTGTGGGGCTGTGGCAGGATCAGGGGGATGTGGGAGGAGGAGAGGAAGTGCAAGTGCCCGGGATGAATGTCTTTCCATTGCAAGCAGGTGCTCTGAATGGTGAGAGGCAGTGAGGGAGTTGGGTGAGCACTCAGGATCTGAGCAGGGTGCTGACCAGCCTGGTAATGGAGAGGAGGCCAGAGGTAGAAGGTGCTGAGTGAGAGGAGTGGTGGCAGTGTCTACTGGGGACAGAGCTGGAACATCCACATGCTCCTTGGATGGCATCAGGGCTGTGATGGGTGGACTTGTGTGCACAGCAGCAGGGAGATCTTGATCAGGGAGCATCGTTGGGAGGCTGCAATGAATAGAGGCTTAGTTGCAGCTAGTTGCAGGGGTAGGGCAAGGCTGGAGCCTGTGCCCAGGGCTCTTCCACAGCCCTTTATCAAGGCCTCACTGTTCTCTTTCTATCCACCCTTTGCCCCAGGGCCTTAGCATCCCCCTTTCCCAGGTGTACAGGATTGCCCCAGATTGAAGCTGCTCAATGACCCTGGCATCACACTACTGGAAGGAAGCTGGAGAGAAGGGAGTTCTTTACCTTTCTGCCACAGGAGTCAGGTTCTGGGTCTCTTTCAGGTGTTTCTGGAAGTCTACAAGTGGGAATTACGAGCCTGGTTACAAGAGCTAAGGGCAGCAAAGGGGTTGCGAAATTGAAAGAAGCTGAAGTGACTGTCCCCTTAGGAGAGAACTGTGACATTGCACTCTGAAGCCCAAATATCAGTGTCAAGTTCCTATGGCCCAGCATGGCACTGGCTGCATGGTATCCACATGGGCAATGCTGCATCCGTATAAAGTGCCTTCATAGCCTTCACCCACTATGATCCTTCTAGAATTGTGCTGTGGGGGAAAGGATGGGGTTGCTTCAGGAAGGAATCAGCTACTGCCAAAGGAAACAGCTGGGCTTCACCTGGATGCCCACTTCCAACTTCTTGCTGTCTTATGCTACTGCTGGCTGCACTGTCCCCTACTGGTGATAAGTTCCAATGGCCCAGCACAGCTTCCTTCTGAGCAGGGAACCAGAGGAGCACTCACCTGGTGCCTGAATTGCCATTAGACACTCTCTAAGGACTCTCCAGCTGACATTCCCCCAGGGACAGGCAAAATCACCTTAGTTCTGGGACAATGGAGCTGAAAGGCAGAGCCTTACCTCTGAAAGTGCCAGTCCTCTTCCTACTCCTGCTTGTCCACCTCATCTGCACTGGATGCTGAGACAAGGAAAATAGTGAGAGGCCCTGGCCCGATTCTCCTCTCTCTCCCTGACAGGATGCAGACACTCAGAACTCATGACTATTATGGC